ATGAGAAGTATCTGATAAAATTTCGATTCTTCTCAAGTCGAATTAGGTTCTAGGAACCAATGGGCACTTGAGGGAGAAAAATTTTCTATTCGATATGGAAGCAGGACATATATGACCAAACAACGAAGGTCATTAATTCCACTCAAAGGTGGAAGGGAAAGGAAAATCATAGCACGTAGTTTGAAGATTGCTACATATAGCAAATAGTTTTATTTTGTATCTGCAATGATCATTATGATCATGCTTATGATATTTATAAAACTACTTTTGTCCTCCAAAAGAAATTTACCATAGGAACGAAGAAGACTTTTAATTCCCACATGCGTGCAATTGTTTTAAAAATATCTGTGCTATCGACTTTACTTCAGACGATAGACAGAAGACAGAATATTGGTGAACCAAGTCGATGAAAAATAATGCCCATATATTATCAATTTGTACCTCAACATTGTTGTTTTAATTTCCATATAAGAAATGGAAAGAGATCTTTGAAATCAATATCTATATCGGCAGAGATTTATAATAATATTGTATATTGTGATGATTTATTCCCTTTGAAAATCATAGGATACAAACTTTATCAAATGATAACAATTGTTTATATCTTTGTGATTCATAGAATATTTTTGATTGAATACCTAAATTGTCAATCAAGTAACTGATATGTGGAAGACGAATTTTAAGTATTGGAATATGTTTCTAACATAGTAAAGAAAGAAAGAAAGAAAGAAAAAAAGGAAGTGTGGACTAAAATTTGCCCATTTTTAACTTCCACTTTAAAATTCACTAAACATTTTTAAAAGGCTTGCGCCTGCTTTTCAAAACAAAATACTGAATAGTTGCATACCTTGTATGGTTGAGGTCGTTGATTCTTGACTGGGTGTCTTACTGGACGATCATTAAATCGTCCAGAAGAAAAATTCTGTTGATTTGGAAAATTAGGTCCTGGTCCAGAAAAATTATTTCCAAGGCTAAGTAAAGATGGTACCTTTTGAAGGGAAGTACAATTATTTTAATATATCTTCAGGAAATTATATAAAATATATATATATATTTTGTATTAAGAAAACTTACTTGTGGTTGAGTTTCTTGTTGAGTACGTAACAAATTCGAAAGAAGATTACTAGCTATTGCTAACTGAGCTTGCGGAGAAGCTAAAGATATATTATTATTTGGAGTAGGTAAAATTCCTCTTCCAGGCATCATTCCTCCTTCCCAAGGATTCATACCGCTATTTCCTCCACCTCCACCCATACCTCCACCCATATTACTTCCCATTCCACCACCTCCTCCTCCTCCAATATTACCAGGCCTACCTCCACCTCCTCCACTGTTCCCACGATTATTAAAATTTCGATTCCCGTAGGTATCGCGTTTTAATCCACGATTAAAAGACATGATTGCTACAAGACAAATAACATATTATTATTAACAATTTTTTTTGTAAATGATTATGGCTATAGTATTTTACATTATTAGATGCTCGATCAATACAATTATAATGTTCTGTGTATTTTATATTAATGAATATAAGAATCATTAAAAAATCATTAATTTAATATATCGGAACTCTTGAAACTAAATATATTAATGTAATAATATATTTAGTATAAAAATATAAAATCTTTTGCAGTATTGGGTTACACATGTACATATAGATATATATCATAGAAATCCAATAAATAGAAATAAATTTGTATTAAAATCTTAATAATATTAATAATTAATTTAAAAAATTGAAGATATCGCCTCATATTTAATTCACGCAGATTATTTGAAAACAGAATGCCGTTAGAAATGTATAAATTCATCGCAAGCGTCCTTACTAATAGATATACATGTATATGTACATATATACACTATTCTTTCGAAATAAGAGAATCCATATAATATTACTTTGGATTCTTTTAATATTATTTTTATGTAAAAAATATTTTCTGCAACTAGATAAAATAAAGAAATATCGTTAATATTGTACATACCAAATTATACTTGGGCGTGGAATAGGAAAGTGAATATACCCAAGCCTAAGAAGAAATGGAATTGCTAAAGCAGGGCTGCCAACCAGTGAAGTCAGATCGTAGACAGTTTTGTTTGTCTGATCGACACAGTGCTGTAAAATTATCGGGTTCTCAGTAAAATTATCGTACGCACAGAAAAATCAGATCCGATTTTCAGAAATTCCAGATTTTAGGATGATTTTAGGATTTTAAATACTGCAAAAAAAGTAAAAATGTATATCTTAGCAAACTTGATGACCTTTTTTTTTGTCTTTGGTTCGTTATGTTTGCTTTTCGCTTTTTTCGCCCTTTTTCGTCCTTTTTCCTGACTATCTGGCTATTGTATGGCTTCTATGGCTATGTGACTATATGGCTAAGAATATGGCTGTAGCCAATCAAAAAATTACTTTTTCGAACTTTTCGATACATAAATAACTGAGTGCGTAGAGTGCGCTGCAACCGAATCGCGTTACAAAAACAAAATCAAGACATATCGAAAATTATATTTAAATATCGAATAATCGTTAATTATCGTACAAGTTGGATTTTGGATCGTACAATGCTTCAAATTGTACGTATACGATAATTATCGTACGAATGGGATCACTCGTAGAACATTTCTACCCCTTCTCTCGAGCCCAACTTCGGTTACACTCGACTTCTTTCGACATCCCAAACACACGGCATGGAAAACTTTCATTGTGTGCAATACCAGTGGCACAGGGAGAGGGTAAGATTTACCCACGATCTGACAGCACTGCAGACAAGCCAGCATAAAACTTGTCGGCGAAATAAAAAGAGATAGAACATGGAAGGTTGATGTTATCTTTCTCTCACTTGCGCTGAGCGGCGCATGCGCATTAGTTTGCTAGTAGAGGTTAAGGTAGCTGGTATCGTATACATACGTTATGGTGGGTAGAGGTAAGGAGTAACACAGTGATCTCAGAGACTTTAGTTCGTCTGATCGACACAGGGGCGTAAAATTATCGTACGCCCCGGGAAAATTTGAAATCCGACAAAAATCCAACAATTTCTCGGACAAAATTTTCAAAATGTGGAAAAAATGTCCAAGTTCCAACTTTTGCAAAGTTTTTTTTTTTTTCCGGATCGTACACGGATCGTGTGGTGGTTGTGGTGGTGGTGGGGGTGCACCTTTCCTAAATTTGTTGACTAAAAAAAAAAAAAAAAATAGGTCATCAAGTTTTCTAAATTCCAAATGGATCGTACGCCACGAATTTTATATCGTACAGGGCCTCATTATTGTACGAATGGGATCACTGGAGTAACATCTCTGTATATGAAAAGTGTCCGTCGAAACCGAACCAATTGAGGTGGCGCCACATTACCATCATGGTAAATTTTAAAGGAAGCGCCAAATATTGTTAGAGTAGGATTGAGAAATAAACAAGAAAAGGGCCGACATGATCGTTACCTCCACATGAATGTCTCATGACAGAAAAAAATTTTTTAAATATAAAAGAACTAAATATTCAATAGAAAATAGAACGAATTTTTTCAAAAATTGTAATATAATGATCATAAAAGTACAATAACTTCCAAAGAGTCTTGCGATAAGATGTCAATAATATTACATTTTTTAACTCGGCATACTTCAATTCTTTTACAATTACTACATTCATACCATACCAAGTGTTTACACCAGCGCCATTCTGGAAGGTTTTTGAACTGTTATTGACAGAAAACGCTGGACACTTTTTCATATTTTTTCCCATAAGAGATGTTACTCCTTACTTCTATCCTCCATAACATACGTGTACGATAAGCACGACATGTCTAATGCGCATGCGCCGGTACCGCATGAGTTAGAGAGAGAAAACATCAACCTTTCGTTTTTTGCTGCTATATTCATGCAGAGACATTTCCACTTAAACAACCGTCTATGGTTTGTTTCCTCTATCTGTAATATCTCTATAGAAATAATCATTGTTTTACACATTGTTCAAATGTGTATTATGTCCATGTATTTCTCTGCGGCGCGTGGTGGGGGTATTATTTCTCCTTTGTCGCGCAGCTAACTTCGGCTTCCCTCGGCTTCTTTCGGTTTTCCGACATACCGACACGTAACATTTCGTTGTGTGCGAGATGTGCTGGGCTCCAGAGAAGGGGTAGAAATGTTCTACGATCTGGCTTCACTGCTGCCAACACTTAAATAATAATGGCCGCAACCATTAATCCATGAAAGTACGTTCGTTAAACGTTTTCAATTTATCAATATGTTTATTCCATAGAAATAATTATTCACCAATATTAATGCATATTCTTAAGTACACATTTATGATTGATAGATAATAGAAGATAACAATTGGACAAATAAAAACTATCTTCGTTATCTTATTGGTAGCTTGTACGGTAGCATCGATTTCATTGGTTTAGAATTCAATACATTGTTATAATACAAATGAAATAATGCCTTTAAGATATTTTAAATACACGTATTATATTTTATTATTGTTATTTCAATACAGTAATTCTTTTAAAAATTAAAGAAAAAAATGACAATATTTATTTAATTATATTAGATGTAGTAACAGTATATTCGATGCCTTGATATTAAATTACTTACATCAAAATCACCATCTTTTTTCGTCAAGGAATTCAGCAGCTGCTTGAAGAATAGACCAAAGTCATTGAAAATAATGGAGACTATTTCAAAGAATAATAGATGTATGATTACTTTTATAAATAAATATTAAATTTTTTACAAAGGTGCTGAATTAATTGCTATAGATAATAAATTTTAAAAGTATAGTTTGTGAAAAGATTTATATAGTATTATTAAGTATCAGCTGTATGGCAAATTATCAATTAATGTTATTCCAAAATATCGATGAAGAAGATATATCTAAAAAATCTAATGTTTAATTTTATTATGAAAAATTCCTATGTCTATATTAATTTTTGAATAGTTAATAAAAGCATGAATTACACACTATTAAAAATATTCAAAAAATGATGGTATATATATAAATTAGCCGAAAGATTGAGAAAAGTATTCTATTTCGAGTTTCTTAGAATTTGATGATGAAAATGGCGGGGAAGGCAGGGTGAGATACGAGGTTTGTCGAACCGTGACGTATATAGCCGAATGAGTGTGCGTATCGCGTTGGAGTAATGGGTAGCGATCTGTGCTTTAGAATCGGTTCAGTATACCGCGCGTCGTTGTTCGGGGTGGTAATTTTATTTTTGTTTTTTCCGGTGATATTTTTTCAAGCGACAATTATTCGATTTTTCTCGAGACATGTGACAGGATAGTGACAAAAGTGACAGAAGAAAAGGAGATCGATCATAACCGTTTAAATATTAAGATTAAGGTGACGTGTATAAGAAAAGGGGAATCATAATCGATAAGAGAATTCTTTGATTTTGGAAAGCGGAAAAAAGCTTTAGAAAGGAAGTAAGCAAAACATAATTTATATTCGATATTGGTATTGCATTTCTATGACACCAAGTGTATTCGTATGAACAATGAAAAATGTAGACATAGAGAAAGGGAGTGACAGTAAGTTGGCAATAATAAGAAGAACATTGAACGAAATTTAAATGGTAAATTTGCTTTAAATTTCTTCTTATAATAAAAAAATGGGCAAGAAAGAGAGAGAGAGGGGGGAGAGAGATAGAGACCGACTTTACAAGTTAAAATAAGCGAAACTATACGAGCCATGTGAGTTTCACGTGCGACTTTCGGATATATCTGTTTACACGTATAGAAGACTTTTTAACAATTTTTATTTTATTGTTAATTTTATTCGAATTTGAGAAAAATAATTTAAGTTAGATAGGAAATAAAAACTCGCCTATATATATTTTAAAATTAGATTTTTAAAATAATGATATAAATAACTTGAAATAAGTCAACATACAGAAAGGAACGTAGATTTATAGGTTTAGCGCACCCAAACCAGTCAAGTCTTTTCTTAATGTTTGTTCTGTTAGTAATTTTGAACGTGCTTTAGTTTATTTAAATAAAGACAAATTCGTGCCTCGTCGTAGAATCACTAGCTTTGCTTTCCTTCCTTTCTTCCTTTCAATTGCGTGATTTTCGAGCTATTTTTCTGCGGTTAATACAAACTTTATGGTTTAAATTATGCTTTCAGAATAAAAATATTATTTCTTTCTGTGTGTGTGTGTGTCTCGTTTTTAAATTATAAAAATAATATATGTGTGTAGTATAATTATACATATATATATATATATATATATATATATATATATATATATATATATATATNTATATATATATATACCTATATATGAATATATAATTGTAAAATAAAATGAAATAAAAGAAAACAAATCTTTGCATATCTCCTATTAAAATTAAATGCGATATTATTAGTGCTTTCAAAGATAATAGATTTAACGTCTAATTATCTTTACAAGAGCTTTCATGGTATCCAATAAAAACGAGAATATATAGTATTAATGCTTTCGAGTACTTCGTAGGTACATACTAGGATAAATTTCCGTTAATCGAAGATAATTAACAGAGAAAAAAGATATTGGCTTATAGGTTGCTGAAACAATTTTCCTTCATTACGTAGCGTAGGATCGCGTATCTTAAAATAAAAATTAAAGAAAAAGAAAAATACAAAAAATAAAAAAGATAAAACAAAAGGAAAAAAATAAGAGAAAAATCCAGAAATATTTGCAAAACATAATGAAGAATTTTTTAAATCGATAGACAACATTTATTCTCAAAACAATAGGAATTATACTATTTGTTAACGAAGTACATTTTTCTTTTTACAAAGAACAGGAAACGAATGAACAACCTATTAACCTATTTACTTAACGTATTTAATTAATAAATACACCGAGGAAACGTGTATTCGTTAATGGGTATATCTAAAATAAACGAAAAGCGCAGGTATTTTGAAAGATCGGAAAGCAATTTTCTATTTTATAGTGAGAAGAGAAGAAAAGGGTAGAGAACAGAAGATAAGAGTATAGTGACGCGTCTCAATTTATTTTTATTATTTCTTATATACCCAGGAACAAAGAAAAGAGAGGGTAATATCATTTTTCGCAAGAAACGATCTAAAGCTAAATTGTACGGGGGGGGGGTGCGGTTGTATCCTTGCAGATATCGCGATATCAAGGGGAAGAGGAAAATAAAGCTAACAGAGGATCTGTCAACGTATGAAAACATCCGCTTAATTTGAACAGTTCGAACTGGAAGAAAGATCGAGCCTATAAAAAAAAGGACATAAAAAGAAATAAAAATAAAGAAAGGAGAAAATATGATCCATCATAAAAATAACGACGTAAACAAAATTATATATCAAGAATGCAATTAGGGATAAAAAGAAGAAGAAGATTAAGAAGAAGAAGAAGAAGAAGAAGGGGAAGATAATCGAGTTAGATCTTTGGATCTTTCACGCGAAAGTGCCACCACTGGAAAGGTAGTACGATATAAAGGATTGACTAATCCGAGGGATATTGAGAAAGACGCGGTTTAAAGTGGAACCAAATTTTTCTATTGAAAATATTTTCTTTGAGAAAGAATATTAAACAAGAACAAAGCGTAAAAAAGAAACTCAAACACATCTCAAAAAGATGCGTTAACTATCCAAAAATGCGATAAAAATCAAACAATAACAAGAGAATATAATATAATATAGATAATATAGAAGGAGCGAAAGAAAAATATCTTTCTTAAATATTATTAATAAAAAAATCATTATTTGTTTACCTCTATCTTATCTCCACCCCGAACAATTTAAAATTGAAAGTATTGTTGTATTTTATCGATAGAAAAAAGAAAAAGAACTAACAATGGCGGAAGAAACATTTCGTCGCAAAACTCGATCGGCCTCGATTTGTGCACCTGGTTTTTCCAGTATGGAACAAATGTTAGGTACCATACCACCTTCAGGAGCTAAGGAAAGAGATAAGAGCGATCGTGAAAGAGACAGTGGTAGCGGTACTCCTGATAGTAATACACCAACCCGAAGACGAAGACCAGCAACGAGATCTCAAAGCGCCAGAGTTTCCGGAGCAAGTAAAAGTATTCGACGCAGGGCGGCACAAGGTAAGCATAGCAAAGTTCTTACTTTCGAAAGCTACACTTTCTTAGAATTAGAATTATGATTTATCTATTTTCCTATCGCCATTCGTTTTCTTGCGCCGTTATTCAAAATAAACTATCTGTTTCAGACCTCACCCCTTACCCCCGCTACTTCCTCTTCTTCTTTATCTTCATCCTTATCCTCTTCTTCTTCTAGTAAAGAAAATTTTACGAATTTTGCGTTTAATTATAATATAAGTAATATTATATCGAAACGTTAAAATCTTAAGCGAATTATTTCACCACCCACGTCAATTATAACCATAATTAATCGTACTTATGCATACAATTGATATTGATTTGATTTAAAATTCATATTAGCAGGGATTTTTGATTAAACTCAATTTACTAGTAATCAACGAGTTAACGAGACTTCAATAATACACGTCAAATGTTTCATACTTATAAAAATGTTCTATCCAGTTCGTTTTTCTTTTTCCTTTCTTTTTATTCTCAGAATGACAGAATTTTTTTCAAGAGAGAAAGAAAAAGTATTGTAGTATGTATCTTTTGTTCGAGAAGTTCTTAAGTACGTGTCTCTTTTGTGTGAGACATTTTTAATACGTTCGACGTCGAACTTGTGAAAGAAAGTGAGATATTTTCTAAAACAATAATGATATAAAAAAAATTGAAAAAGGAAATGAGAAGATAATTAATCTATTTTTTTTTATATAGAAAAAGAGAAAAGAATTAATCATGGTATACTTCCATTTTTTTTAAACCCGAGCGAATTTTTGAAAACGTAAGTGCTGTCAGTGACCCACTATAAAAATGCTAACACGAAAATAGAAACTGTTGCGATTTCAATAACTCTCTAGGGAGAAGAGAAAGAGAAAACTATGTATGATACGTTTTCTGCTAAAGCCCTTAGAGATTTATGTTCATACAGGGTACCCCAAAGAATTGACCCATACTTCTGCAATTTATTGTTGGGGATAACCATATAAAAAACTTTTTAATAGAAATTAACGATCATTTCACAATCACAATGTACAATGTCATAGGGTTTTGAAGTTGGTTATCATATAAGTTGCTTGTCTAAAAAATATATAGTTAAACAATCTGTTGTACTTTTTAATTAATAGGTTTAAATACAATATAGTTGACATTTACTAATTTCTAAGACGATTAGCGCTTTATCATTCAATTTAACCGTCAACAAAATAATTAAAATAGAATAGAATAGTATACAGTTTAAATTGAAATAATTAAATCTATGATATCCCTTCGATACACTCTCGAAATATAGGTCAAACTTTATGGGAATATCCTATATGTGTTTTTTGATTCATACTTGATTCATACACACATAAGTCATTGATGAAACATTGCAAACACATTGGAAACGTTAAAAATGTTCTTAAATGAAAAATTGCATTTTTATATTCCAAACGTTCGAACTGGCATGGATACTAAAGTTTTAACACCTTATTGATGTTATAAAAAAAGCAAGAATGATCTTTCAGTTAAACTTTCTCTGTTTCGGAAACAGTACGATAAATCAATGGTCTCAGTTAAATCGTAGATAGGATTACCAGACGCCATACCCCATACCCCATACTATCGTTGAATCAAGCTCAAATAAAGAAAGAAGAGAAACGAAGTTCGAATATCTCGATAAACGTATTTGCGAGGGTGTAACGTTTCATCGAAACATGGACGTAATCAAAAATCACGTTTGTACCTATGATAGATATATGACAGTTGCTGAATTGAATTTTACTTGTACATATATATATATATATATATATATATATATGTGTGTGTGTGTGTGTGTGTGTGTGTGTGTGTGTGTGTGTGTGTATGTGTGTGTGTGTGTGTAAAGGTATGATATACTATCCGTTAAAAATATGTCAGTTTTTTTCAGAATATAAGTAAAAATCGATCCTGCAAAAAATTTCAAAAGTTTTCATCGCGTTTCTACGTTTTGCACGTAAAAACCTAACTTGTGAAAGTTTAATTAATGCATTAAATTTAATTAATAAATATTTTAATAACATTAATATTATGATATTTGAAATTTTTGAAATATTTTTTCTATAAAGTTTCCTATGTGCAAATCATTTTATTTTCATAAAAGAAAAAAAGAAAAAAGGTAAAGCCTGGTTCAACAAATATATCTTACAATCGATTAAATTTTTGCGTGCATTTAAAAGAATTGATTTAATTGATTTAATTTGTTTATTTATTAAATATTTTTAGCAGCAGATCAGCATCATCTTCATCACCATGAGGGTAGCGTTAAATCTCCCCATTGCAGTAGCGAACCCAAATTAACGAACGCCGATGTTAGTCCAGCATGCAGAAGAAGGGGAAGTAGAAGAGGTCAAAGTATGCATCATGCTCAACAAAAGAAAAGCAACGACTTCCTTGACGTTCCCGTAGCATCTATGCAATTATCACCAAGAGAAGGTGAAGATGAGGATAGTTATAGGCTTCGAAGCTTTAGTCTAACGAGAAAAGGTAAGTTATTGTTGTTGTTGTTGATGTTCTTCTTCTTCTTATTATTATTATTATTAATATTATTATTATTATTATTATTATTATTATTATTATTATTATTATTATTATTATTAATATTATTACCATTATATAATACTTTTTGTTCTCCCTACGAACTGAAAAGTTTTATAATCTCATTACAGTTTTCATTCTCATTTTCTATTTATTTCTACTACTCGCACGAATTCAACCAAAAAAACTATTATTCCCCAATTAATTTATTAACTAAAGAAAATTTTTCGAACAGTCTTTCGAATCACGAATATAAGAAAATATATGTTGATTTCAAATCTAAAATGATATATTAATTTGTGAAGATAGGAAATTCTGGATAAATTGTTAAATCGTTAAATGAAGAATTAGAGAAGTGTAATATGTTTTCTTAAACACGTAACCGGTAGACTGGAATCTGTCAGACTCCGATAATTGTTTTTTCTGGTGTCTTAAAAGTTTGATTGTTGTTATAAAAAATTATTGCTTTTGTGGGATTTTTTTTTTAGGAATTTATTTTTAATTTATTTTTTCGGCAAACAATTTTCATGAACTTTTTAAATTTTAAGTAAAAATTAATACAATATGTAAAAATAATATAAATAAGGTTTAATACAAATTTATGCACTATAAATAAGACTTTCATTATAATTCTATACCTTTTTTTTTTTAATTTTTTTATTATACTTAAAATTTTGAATATTTCTCTATCGTTCTATAAACCTTATCATACTGTTCACGTAAAGAAATTGTCACCAAACCAGTTATATATTAACACAAAGTAAATTATAAAAAGAATAAAAAAGTTGGAATTAATCGTCTCCCTTATTGTTAGTTTAGAATCTGTTCAAATTACGAGTGATTACTATAGTCAAAAATGAAATTGATTATTTTTGTTCATTTTAATCTTTTTATCTTTTGCTTGATTTTTCTTTTTTCGAAAGAATCCATCGATTCAAAAAACGAAAACATCCAAAAAAATTGTGTATGTTCATCGAATCGTAAGAAAAATATAACGAGGAAAGAAAGAAAAAATTTATTTATTGTAACGGAAAAGAAAAATGAACGGGGTTAAACGTGTCTTTTCGAAGTTTTTGTTCTAAGAACTCTTTAGATTTTATTTTATTAATTTTATTTTTTCTTTCATAACAGCAAAAATCGAAATCAAAGATATATGTAATAACCTTAAGCGAAATAGAAGTGCAATATGTATTTTGATCGATAATCAATAATTATTAATTATGCTATAAAAATGTATTTAAACATCTTCTTAAACATTTTTGTTTATTACAAGCTTGTTTTTATTACGATCGTATAGAGCAGTGGTTCCCAAACTTTTTTGTCCTATCGCTCCCTTTCTAAAAAAAATATTATTTAGCGCCGTCTGAAAATTAATTTATTTTAAATTTTAATAGCAATTATATATATATAATAGGAAGTATACAGAGTGTTCGAAAAAAAGCATTCATTATTTATATGGTAGATAGGGCACACTATGTTGAGTAAAAAAGTTCTAGTAAACATAGGTCGAAAGGTCAACCATTTCCGAGATATAAACGTTTTTATTTGCTATTATCATGATTGACTTCCTACCGAATTGCTGTTATTTACAGAAGATTTTCTATGTATCCACCATCCATTTCTACACACGCTTGGCATCTTCTTTTTAAAGAGTTGTGAACTCTCTCGAAAATTCCCCATTTTTGTCGAATTACTTGACAAGTATGGTGAATTCGGTTACTTAATTCTTCTACGTTGTTTATTGGCAAGGAATACACTTGACTTTTTAAGTAACCCCATAAAAAGAAGTCCAAAGAGTTTAAATCGGGGGATCGAGGAGGCTATGCAACTGGTCCACCACATTTAATCCACCTTTGACCGAACACCGTATTTAAATGCTCTCTCACATTGCGTAGAAAATTAGGTGGTGCTCATCATACATGTACCACATCGATAGCAAGATTTAAATGAGCCGGATTCACAAAGTCGTTGGTGAAGTTTTTGAAAGAATATATGAGAGAGAACCCTTCGATTAGGAAATTTTTCCGCGAAAAGACGTTTTGCCGCTAAAGCACTTCCATTGGCACGACCATACATAAAATGTATGTCTGCCATTTCTTCGTTTGAATAATATGCCGACATTTTAATGAAACTTCGTAACTATCTAACAGCTACAATTGCTGATCCACGACTAACCTCAGAACGTGATTTATAAACACTGAAGTAAATAACGCATGCAATGGAAGCAAGTAAGTCAATCATGATACTAATAAACAAAAATGTTTATATCTCGGAAACGGTTGACTTTTCGACCTATGGTTACTAGATCTTTTTTATTCAACACAGTGTGCCCTATCTACCATATAAATATTGAATGCTTTTCTTTGAACACCCTGTATATATGTATTACTATTTCTATCGTCCCCTGAATCGCTGCAGCACCCACCAGAGGGCGGTGGCGCCCACTTTGGGAATCACTGGTATAAAGCAATGATTTACTTGACAAATAAATTATTTATCTAGTTCGTTTAGTATCATTTTTTTAATGCGTGAATAATTGATACGTAAATTGCAGATTTTGTCTTCATGGTATATCATTTTTCTTAAAATCATATAAAACAATGATTTTCACGATTCATAGATCGCTTTCCTTGTTCCTATCTTATTATTTTTTTTTCAAATGTATAGAACAATGCGTAAATATTTGATGCTTAAATTACACATTCTTTTTCATATCGTGTATCATTTTTCTTACAGTAGTATAGATCGATAATTTATTTGATACTCAAATTACATATCTTTTTTTTCACCTGGTATCATTTTTCTTTCGAACGCACAAATCAGTGCGTATATATTTTATGCTTGAATTACACATCATTTTTCACATATTATCATTTTTTTATCAAGTAACATATATCAATGATTTATTCGACTCTTAAATTACACACATATGTTTTTTATTTCGTATCATTCTTGAAACAATATTGTTACGTATAAAATATAAATCGTTGATTTATTTAATCGAAATGATACATATTATTTCCTCGTATAATATTATTTTCATTACAATCACATAATAATTTAAACGTCAGTTAAATTATTGACTTTTATGATTTATTAATATCAAGAGAACGAGACTTTGGATATAAGAAAGAAAAAAAAGTCAAAAGTTTCGCAAAGAAACGGAAAATGCGATAATATCATCGAAATTCAAAAATGTTCAAAAAGGTTCTCTTTAAATCTGAAACAGATTCGTCAATTCGTTGCCTATGCTATGCTAGCTTTGGTACTTTCGTTTTGAAACTCTGCATGACTTCTTTCGACGAGAGAGAAGCGTGCGTGGTATATGAAACTCGTGCCAGAAATACGCGTGAACACGAGAAACGAGAAAGAGAGAGATAGAGAATGAGAAGCTGATGGAGATTGAGAAAACTTACAAACGAAAGAGTGAGAAAGAAAAAAAGAGAGAGAGAAAGAAAGAGAAATATCGAGATTAACGCATTAAAGTGAAAAACGTGAAAAAGAGAAAAAAAAGAGAATGATGAAGAAAATATAAGGGAGAAGAAGAGAGAATAAGAGAGATACGAGAGAGAAGGAAAGAAAAGAGAGGAAGAGATAGGAATACACGATAAGCGAAAATAGCGTCTATAGTGGTGACGTCGGTCAACTTCCCCGAAACGAAAGAAGCGACTTCGTACAAGTTCGCCAAGCCAATGAACGTGCGTGAAAGTCGTTTACACATCGTCCAAGCTCTCACGTTTTCCACATAATCACGCGATTCCACCTACGCGTTTATAGTATATACATATAGGTACAGATATTTGTATGCAAGAACTGTGAAAATACATTATATTTTGTTTCGTATGATATATACATTTATGTATGTAAATTAGTGTATTTATATGTACATATATATATATTTACGTATATCTCGTTAGGCTTATTAAGATTAGTATGTTCATCCTACTTGATTAGTATATGTCCTTTTCCTTGTTTCATTTTAGAAATTCAAGGATCGCGTGTATTCAAATGAATTTAGATAGAAATTTATATCATATGACTTATGGTTTTTATGCAAAAAAGGAAAGTTATTTTTATTCATTAGTTTACCATTTAAAAAGTATAAGTTTTGAAATAATAAATAAATCCGATTAAGTTTTGAATTTTTGAAGACTAGAAATTGAAATTTTGTTTTTCGAATTAATACTACTTAATATATAATATTTTGTACAATTTAGATTTTATTTTATATATTTTTAATTTTAATTTAACTTAATAAATTATAATAATCTTATTTATATTGTACAATATGCATTATATTTTTATTTTTTATTTACTTTAATTAACATTTACGAATTGTTGATGAGCATCTTATGAACTGGTAAAAATATAAATATTAAACGAAGATAATTGTGTTTTGTATTTAAGGAAAAATTTTTCTCCTTACTCTTGGGATAAATAATATAATATCTTAAATTGTTGGATTTATCGACTTGATCGATAAATAATTTCCTCGTCGAATTATTGCCTTGCCAACGGCGCGGCACTGAGAAGATATTAATTATTAGAACCCGAAGAAGGTAGATATCATTTGGTAAATAGTTATTATTAAAGCTTTAAACCTTTAAATGTTCATAGAAAGAAATTTGAGAAGCTTAAAAGTTTAGAATCATTTTAGTTTAAAGGATATTGTACGTATTTACCATGATTTCCCCGGATATATATTACATTCTTTTTCATTTTAGATATTCATCCAATACTATTCTAAAAAGCTTTCCACTTTTTATAAAATATTTTATTTACCATGATTTTTCATAATACTTAGTATATTTCTGATCTTTTCGACACATTTCATTGAGCGAAACTTAAGAAGCTTATGTTAGAAGCTTTCCGGTTTTTATAGAATATTTTGTAATGTGATTTTTATAGTGTACATTACATTTTCGATCAGTTAAACACATTTTATTTCG